GTATCTTTTATTGATGTTGTCTTCCAGTACGTTCGCAACGGCAGTTTAAATGCTTGAAATGAACCCATTCGCATGCACAAAGCTTGTTTTGTTTTGACTATAAGCGGGCCCCTTTAACTTCCCTCGAAAATTGACGTACAACTCCCTTTTGGAATCCAGCTGCATTCTGGCAACCTGTATCGATATACTATCTGTCCATCATCGTGAGTGTATTTTTGGCTTTTCTGAAACAGCTGTGCGAAGTGTATTCTGAGTTTTAAAATGCATTTCAGGACTCCAGGCATATATTCAACGGTAACAGTCTACTCCTTGTGCTTACCTAAATGCTAGTGGCCGTAGCTAATCCGCTTGGCTGGTCCGAATGAGAGAACACCCACTTCAACTTGATGCAACATTTCCGAGTCTGTTTTGGATTAGTCCGATTATCCACCGCGGTTTTCCCGCGTAGTAGTTTCTGACCTAAACATCTTGCCCAGCGTTGAATAGCGCGGTCGGTCCAGTCAACTAGTAATCATTGTTGCGAGTGAGCAACGCCCCCATGTTTATCTGCTTTAGATACGGTCCCAGTTATCTACTTGGCCAGGGCTCACTGCAAGGTCAGTTGGGGTGCTGACTGAATCTATGTGTAACAGTCCGTTCAAACGACGTGTGCTTCAAAACGACACTCAAATAGTCTCCTTTATCTTACAGCAAAGAAATGGGAATATCGTCGGGTTCAAGAACCTTGTTTCATTTCAGCACGACAAGTTCATGTCGAATCTCCTTCAAAGTAGGTGTCATCAAAATGCCATGCGGGCTTAGGTGATCTAGTGGGCATCACTATCATAGCAGCCCTGTTGAATTACTCTTCAACGGATTAGTCGACGCGGCTAAAAATCGATCATCTGCACCTCCATCTCATCTATCGTCCCACTGGTTGAGGACTTTCTTATACCAGTCTACGGGGTATATCGTAGGAAGATCGCTGCACGAGGCTGTAGCTTTACACCATGTCGTATCGTCGGTTTCGAATTTGACCTCATAATGACTCACCTGATGACGTATCTGGGTCACTTCTCCATATTGAAGCTACTGCTGCACATACTCGCGGACACCGACACAATCTTGTTACCGGACCTGAAACTGATTGCTCACCCTCTGTACTTCGAGTGGTGAAATATTGAAACAGTTTACCTGGGACAATGGTTGAGGTACAATCGGTGTCACAATTCAAACATTTCCTAGACGTCATCGTTGCTAATCACAGGTTTCGACGGCGCATCACATCTGATTAGCATTTCTACACACAGCCAAACTGCGTTGACAACACAGGGTAGTAAATAGTGTTATTCCGCGTGCATCCCCGACTTTATATCCATAGGGCAACGCGGATTTATATCTCACTTTGTTTTCAGTATTGTTACTCTCGACGAGTTGGAACAGTACTCGGCTGTTCCGAATAATGCTGGATTTTTCCATCTCATAAGACCTTATCTTACACCAACACTGTCGGCCAAGTCTCGGTCCCCTTGTCGACAGTCGGTTCAGGGTGCTACAGACGCGATGAAACGCAGTATTCGACGAAACCTGTTTGCGTGCACTTATCAAGCTGGTCGATTACTCAAAATATATTTTCAGTCGGGACATCCCAAGTTTGGCGTACAGCAGCTGTCAATAACATTCCAACTAGCGTACGGCTCACCAACCTTATTCCTCACTGACAATCATTGGGCCAGTTCGTCGTGATATTACTGAATAACTAAATCTCCAGATCGCAAGTAAGAGGCCTAGAAGTCGGGCACTCCATTAAAGCACATAGAGTGAGCGTCATGCGTGCGTTTACTATAGTGTGATCGGAATCCAACACTCCTCTCGGTTGACCAAAAGTCTTAAACTGATGTGCGCCATTTGTAACTAATGACAGTATGGTCGATTGGAGCCCGGGCCATCAAGAAATTCGGTGGGCGCCTAGTGACACGATGTGAACATTGTTACCAGAAACCAGTGCTGCTGCTATGAAAATTGTGATCGGCGCGCAGCTGTAGAAACTGATCGCCATTGTCTGCACTATACGCATTTACGCCGAAGCGGCCTCCAAGGTGTTGTACAAAGTCCGAAAGTTGACCGACAGGCATTCATTCTAACAGCAATGATCACGATATCGGCCGGTGGCCGAGTGGTCTGCACGTTTGCTTTGCAACCATAAGGTCACCGGTTCGAATCCGCGTAGGGGTGGGCGTCCTCGCGGTATACTCAGCCCGCGCGCGACTGGTGGTGGTCGCGCGGCAGCGGAGCGCCGTTACGGCGTGTAAGTTGACACATTATTACATTACACGATATTAGTACTTTTCGCAGACACCTTGTCTGCAGAGGATGCTTGTTCATTCCAATAGCAGTCCAAACTTCAACCACATTCACGCAACTGTCCATCGATATCTAGTCGAATAACTTACCATCAGCATTTTTACTGAAGGAAATGCGAAAACTGCAAACACCTTGAGTTATCAACTCAGTATCGCTGGCGACAGAGTCGGGATTGGGAAGTCGAAGTTTTGTTACATATGATTGTTTCGGAGATCCAGCAAACATCTATCCAGATCTAACCCAGAGTAGTACCTGCAACGAACCAATGTGAAATGAGATTCTTGATTTGTAGGGTGGCTTACAAGGTGTGCATAGCACCAGATGCGGAGCCATCAGGGGGTTTGTTGCTTGATAGACGGGAAGAAGTGTTACAGGAGCAGAGAACCACAACGAGATGAAATAATGTCGTAGACGAGGTCCATAATGCGGATTTTACTTTCTGATCGCCTGTTCCAACAGCGAAGTTTTATAGGGTGTTTTATGAATCTGGTCCGGAGCTAGGAGCGACTACACTCAGGGGCTGAAGTACACCGGTACACTGAATTACTAACTGTCCAATGGCGCAAATTGCTTTGCCGGCAGGAGTGAGATGGGACACAGAAGCGCGACATGTGTGCCTACCATCGCAGGGCACACCGAGCCGTTCGGCTGTGAGCAGTGAAAGTTAGCTAGCACCACAGCCGGAATCAACCTGTCATGCGTGGATTGTAGGGCAAGACCAAGGGAACACACCCCGTTCGGCTGTGAGAACTGGACATTAACCAGGCACCACAGCCGCACTGAACGTGTCATACTTCAATCAATCGGTAGTCGGCCTTTACGCAGGTGAAAAGCTAGCAAAAGGGTCCCCTGCGATGTTGTTAGTGGGTGGCTATGCTAGCAGTTGTGAAAAACAGCCTGGCCGTCTATGATGGCCGGTCGATGGGCGCCCTATTGTTATTGCCACAAAAGCTGTTATCGCTTCATGACTGGCTTCCTCCAACAAACCTGTAAGCTTTTATTAGGTAGCTTTCGCTGCTAAAGGGAATCATGCTTCCGGGAGCACACTGTAAGGTTACAGTGTTGTTCGCTTTACCGTTTCCATCGCGTGTGTGTTACAGCTGGAAATTTTAGTGCTACCTTGTGATTTGGTTGAAGTCTTTCACTCGCGGCTTTTGAACAATTGAAATAAATCGTTTGCTTTGTTACATACGTACGACCACGGCCAACCGCAGGAGAGTTTGTAAACTTGTTTTCATTTGACATGAGGCGTTCGGTCATCGGGTAGTACTCTGCCACCGTCACAAACAACGCGTTGCACTCCTGCTTCATATCGATTGAGTTGTGAACTTATAACTTGGGAACTGTTGTGCCTTATCGCCGTTTTAAGGGGAGATGACCACTGACCTTAGGAGACGTTAGTGAGACAGAGTTGGTCTCGTCCCAAACCATTGTCCTGTCTTATGTGTGGCTCTGAAATCGCTTGGAAATGGCCACCCAGGGTAGTTTACTCGGTATTATTTGCTTCTTCAGTGGTGCTCACGCGTTGCCTCTATACATCTACGGCACCGCGTGCAGGGATGCCGAATACGATTCCTATGAATGTATTTTTTGCATCTAATTGCAGCTCATATGAGGTTAACCGCCGAATCTCCGTCAAAGTTGGCGGTCATCGTATGACATCATTTGCTCGCAGCTCTTGGACTATAAATTACAGACTCAACTAACTGTCCTTTGTTATAAGAACAAATACGGCGATACTACTATTGTTGTTTTTTGTGCGATTACTGAGACTAGCTGTTTATTAATGACTTAGCGACCTCTTGGTTACCATTTTTGGGTCAAACACATCCTGCTGTTGGTGACTATGGAAATGTTTAACTCTGTGCTAACTACTGCTCTTACATTATCACAATCATCCATTGCGAGCCCTAGCCTTGCATCACACCGAGTGGTTCACTGCATTCAACCCCGATCGACCGCATAACCTTCATCTTCTGACGGCGCACTTTAGTGCATGGTTGCCGATCTAAACGGGGCACCCAGTTAACTCCTGATTGAGCTTTGGTGCAAGTCCGTACTGAGCTTATCTTTATCTAGAGGATCCGCGTTGCAACAGTCCGGGCGTCAAATTCGCAAACTCTACACCATGGCACGAGTTCCCGCTCAGTTCTGAGCACCCAGGCCATTTCACTGCCCACACAACCGTTTAATTTAACCTGGTATTGAAACCTCTGTACAAATTTATGGGTTATTGCTGAAACCGGCTTCATTATAATTCGGGTCTCCGATGCTGCTTGGGCACCAGCATATCACATTCTATCATCTAACTTGGGTTGTCAACTGCCATGTCGGGCGAGGTTTTCAAGCCGATTGGCGATTTGGATCACCACGTGCAACGTTTTTTGTACCAACTATCCTCATTACGTACGTGAGATTCCCCGGCAAGCTTCTCCCAACGTTTGCCCATTGCTTCCACATTTATTGTTCCGTTTTATGCTGACCGGTTGTCAGAGCCACTCTATGTTCACTTGTATAAGCACATCCTATCTAGTTAATGTTTCTCGTCTGATACTTTTGTGTTCTGTTTGAGGCATACATTTTCATCTCTTTCCCTTCGCACTTTTCGTGAGTAACTTTGACCTTTTCCAATTGCCTCTTTTTGCTCCCCACCGTAGGTCAGCGCCTGTAAACAACAAATCGCCAAGAACTTCCTCAGTCTACTACCTGATGGGGCTTGTCTGTTGATCCATTCATACTCACGTGCAGTTCTCGCCGCTCTAACAGCTTATGCCATCAGTCGACCCGAGAGTTCCGGGAGTAGCGGCCGATTGCATTGTTATGTGACCACTTGCGCTCCACATGAGTCCGGACGAAAAATGATGAAAGCTTTGGCCAAACTGAAGGTATCCTGCACACTCATACCCGATCTCTCGATTGCCTATCTCATGACCCAGATCACTCTAGTGCTTATGGGTGCGCAAGCGGTGGTTGAGAGTGGAGGAATTCTCAACGACCTCGGTTCTTCCACGGTTGCGATGATCGCATCTGCTTTCGGGAAACCGGTGTACGTTTTGGTCGAGTCTTTCAAATTCATTCGAGCCTTCCCATTAGATCAAAGACACATTCCAGAAGAGTTCAAATCCACTTCTGGCTTCTCACCCGCTTGTTCGCCCATGCGGAATTTGAAAATGTCTAATTCATTGGAATCCGTTGATGATGGTGATCCGGAGGGTTCATCTGTCGAAGATTTCCCAGAGCTGCACACTCCATGGGCTGAAGTTTGTCGTCACCGCACTCGTGTCATTGAACGAACTATTCCTAGCATTGACTACACCTACCCATGTTACATTTCTCATTTGGTAACCGATTTGGGTGTGCTAACCCCATCAGTTGTCAGCGACGAATTGATCAAGCTATACCTGTAGAGCATGTGGAACCAATACATACATTGTCATATGCTTTCTTTTCTTTTCCTTGGCTCTTCCTTTCTCTACGTCCCTGTCTCACTTCTCGTTATAGCAGTATGCAGTCTGTCGGATCAATTTACCCACATTGTCATTTACTCTGGCTTCTCTGTGTGCTCGTTCGTCTATGCTCCTATACTGGCCTGCATTCGGATGCTGAGTCTCAGTCTCTTCATTCGCTGTTTTCATCCTCACGTCCAACCATGGATGATTCCCATGTTCAGGACAGACATCCCCTTCTTTTGCTTCTCATCGACTCATTACGATGGGATTTGGTCGATCAGTATGCGTTGCGATTTAACATGACGTTGCGTGGATTCGGTCAGCTGCGCGATTACGGTAGCTATGTGGAACGCGTCACCCCAGTGTTCCCAGCAGAATGTTTTCCAAACTTGCTTTCGCTGTTCACAGGTAAAGCCATGGTTTTATACATCATTGCTTCATCCCTTCTTGAGCGCGTTTATAAATTTTAGTTACAGCGTAGCTATTTTTACTGTTTAGCTATGTTGCAACCCTATGACCAATATCCCATGTCGCAAACCTAGGCCTGGTTAACATTTCGGCCTTTCATTTGCGTGGAATAGGTAATAGTTTGAGGATAGCTGACTCAGCATACTGTATGGGCGCTGTGTTCCATAGGCGCCGTAATCACTTTCCCATCTAACTTGCTATGGCTCTTGATCCCATTGACCGTCACTAGGCTTCGCTACGCTACCACTTTTACTTCTTTCATGCCAGTCCGCTCAATGAATTTAGTGCTGGTGACCTCATTATCCTCGTTTTCCAGATTCTTGTTTGGTTTCACTCAACACATCCTGATTTTTTACTTTATTGTGATGGACGTTTCGGTTCCCAGCTTGGTGGTCCAGTCATTGTTTCAGAACTGAGATTCTGATAATCGATCGTCATATACGAGAACCACGATTTTCTCGTCTTTTGCTTACAACAACCAATTAGACTCAAAATCACCACTCCAGTAGCTCGCTTCGTTTTCACTCTTCTCATATTCACGCTGTTTTTACCTCGGACACAATTACAGTTGCTGTAACCGCAATTTCATTCACATCCAGGTAGTTACTGAAGTGCCGGCACCCACTACACGCCCTTTGTATTCAATTTCGCGTATCTAGACATGAGGAATGCAGATAATCTTGGCAAACGTTGAATTTTGTTTTCACTGGCATGTGCTTCAGCGGTCGGATTAGAATTTGACGACCTGTCTTTTTTGACTTTACCATGCTCATCTCACGAGCCTTCTTGGGGCAGGTAGTTTTCTGAAAGGAAATGTTACTCTTGCTTCGTTGTTCACTAAGCGACTAATGTAGTCATTTGTGTATCCTAGGACGCAAATCCATTATTTTCTTGAGTTTAACGTTTCACCGCACATGCTTGACTCCTTTCTTATCCCTCGATTGATTACTAAACAGTCCTGGATTTTGAATTAGTCAGGTGCGTCGACTTTTTGTCCCCCGGAGATTTTCGGATGCGATTCAAATCCTACCGGATAATTTACCCTGTTAATTTCCAGTATCTGTCCATTGTTCCTGAACCGGCACTGACTTTGGTTTTATTGAAATTTCCCGAATGTCGCAACCCCATTCCCAATTATTTAGACTTGATTCCAACTTACTGATATCGCAATCGAACTGAAGGCTCAATATGGCACCTCACCTTGTCATTCTCCTCCTAAGAAAACCTTGAATGTTAGCAGCACCACGGTTGCTGCCTCGTTTCAAGGCCCTCTAATCGACTAATTAAGTGACCTCATGTACACCTTCAGCAACCTGTCTTAGTTGCGAATAGTGGTTTTTGTTAGAATGAGATAGAGGTATCGCACAGACGCTTCGCTGCCACGCATTCACTAGTAATTGCATGGAGATGAACTATTGCGAGTTCGCCCCACCTACACGGGTTCTGACTCGTACTTGCCACAAACCTTGCTCAAATAAGCATTATTGGTGCAACACATGGGTAACCTGTGGTCCTATTACCATGGGATATTGACTGATGTGACACCGGCACATGGTACCTCTAGCCTTGGGACGCCTGAATGCTGAATCAAAGTTTAGTTAGGTTAGTGTTAAAAACCAACGCCAAATTTGCCCTTTTATTCATTCAGGTCAATATCCTATTGAACACGGAGGCATTTTTACCCAGCTGTTCGATGAGCACGAGAATCGTTCGTTCAATTTCGATTTACTTGAAGATCGCGAGCATCTGATACCACATGTGTTTCAATATGGTCCGCTTAAAGTGAGTTATCTGAGTCGTTCTCCGCTATGTCAATTGCTCTCTGGTTCACATTCGTTTTTGACCTCTAAATTCAGGACCTTATCTCATCTTCACTCATGGCCTAGTCTATGTATGAATGAACATGTGGGGCTCCATCCGAGCCAGTATAATCAGGAGTCATATACACAGTGCTTAGAAAAATTGGATCACGATTTTTTGAATCATACTTTTGCCGTTTCTTCAGATTTTTTAATTCCTCCGCTGTTGTTGTTCTTGGATCCTCAACTATGATGGCATGCGAAACAAGCGATCGTTGGATGGAGGTTCATCGATTTTACCGAACGTCTTCAATCTGCACCAGCCGACACGCGGTTTCCACCATTTAAATCCCACGTTCCACGGTAGACACGGCCGGTGGCCGAGTGGTCTGCACGCCTGGTTTGCAACCATAAGGTCACCGGTTCGAATCCGCGTAGGGATGGGCATCCTCGCGGTATACTCAACCCACGCGCGACTGCTGGTGGTCGCGCGGCAACGAAGCGCCATTACTGTGTACAACTAACACCTTATTACTATTATTATTATTATACACAGGACTTGAAAAAGTCCATTCCGTTTGTGTTGTTGGAGAGACCGGCGTTCTCCGTGACACAATGTTCTACATGTGGTTTTCGAACCCCGAATTGCTACACCCAAGCTGCCCTCAGCAAGCGCTCATTTTTGAAGAGCACAGCTCCATACAGGTCGTTCACGCCTACCGTCATGGCGGTGCTGTAAACCCCTTTTTAGCGAGAGATGGGTTTCAACAGCGCCCCAAGTGTCAGCTTGGTAAACGTTGATTGATTAATAAATTGAAGCGTTATCTGATTTCCAATGATGCCACCAGAAGGAGCGCAGTGACTTAGGTTGGCAAAGGTTTCCATCCGTTCAGACTCTGTGTCTTCAAGCAAGGGCGCAGAAACAGGTGAAATCTAATCCTACATCACCACTTTACTGTTCAATCGCCAAACGTCTCAGAATCAGTTGCTTAGTCACTTAGTGAACTGACACTAGCAGTTTTGCACTGCTGCTCGATCCATGTTGCTTTCCTACGCATTCTCCTCTGCAGTAACTTGTCCGATGCCCTATTAATCTGCTCGATTGTGAACGCCATGAAGTAGTAGCTTTCTACTTAGATTATATGCATTTTGTTGTCATGGGCCGCGTTGAATTGAACCACAAAATCCCCAACACGCACTTGGCAATGCGCGAAATGTATCAACCGCAGTTCATCGAGCCGTCGATTGTTCCCGAATCTCCCGCGCCTAATGACCTATCCTCACTCAGTCTGTTTGTCGATGATGTATCCCGTTAAATTGGAACTCAGCTTTTAAAGTACCATTGGGGATCTCGGGCAGCTGGACAACAACGTATCAGTAAAAATGACACAACCTATTCTCTTGAGCTTAACTCTCCACTCTTAGTCGTTGATTTACCCAGGTATTTTCCTGGAAATTGTGGATGAAGTGTAGACGAATTCCTTTGTTGGCTCGAGACTTTATAAAACATGACCCGTAGCAATGTGCGTTTACTGTCCTTTTCCGACCAGACTATCTGTGTAAAGCTTTTGATGTTATCTGAGCAGTAGGGCTGTTTTTGACGCTAGAAAATGGAGCTGTTTCGCACATACCGTCTTAACTTCACACAATAACCAGTGGACAGGGTATGAGACCATTGTGTTTGTGTGCCTGCGAAGCATTAGTGATATGTAAGCACAGATTTTTCGTAACCCGAGATCTGATTGAGGATGCTGGGTTGTTCTCCGGGTTGGACTCTTTGTTTACATACGTCTTGTCGGTAGACTGGAAAGGGCTGATCGTCATGATTTTTTGTCAGATTAATGGATTAGCCGAAATTTTGCAACGATTTTCTAAAATGACGGCAGAAAACCTTACTTCTGATAACATAATGATGTGTACAAGCCAAGGGTGAACAATGCAACGATATTTGTATGGGTCCATGATAAAAGTTTGAACCGTTCCATCGACATAGTATTGCAATATCCGCAGCCCAGGCGCGATCGGTGGCAGTAGTTTGACAGCCGAGCGTCGCCACGTTGTACCGGCGTACTCCTGATGCACTTATCGTAGTATTAAATCAAAATAGCAATGACGTTCACTACGGTCTTAAAAAATAGAGCGTTTTTCGATCTGTCAGCTTCTGTTCTCAAGGTTACTCTGGCAGAAGCTTGTATTCATCAAGTCGATAAATTTCACAGTGTTCCAACGCAATTCACGTATATACTACTGTAAACCTATGTACTATTGTCCATCGTAATGAGGCTGGACCTTACCGTGGTGCGATGGTTTGTGTGCCTCAGTGATCCATTAAGCTATGCTAGCTGGCGCTTTTTTGCACCTTTAGAGCCACTCATACCAGATTGGTCAATAATTAGCCAGGGAAACAGTCTTCTGGCCCTTTAGGTTTGGGGTCGGAATTAGAGTGGCTCATTCCTTAAAACGGACTCTTTTTAGTCCACTGTCAAACCCGCTGCGTTTCGGCCAGATTTTCAAGTAAAGCCTTTGGTTGAGAACCCTAATCGTTCTTCTCTCTAGGCCTGAGCAGCCTGACAGTATCCTGCCTAAGCAATACTATGCATCTTTCGCCAGACAATTTCCTGATTCTCTGGCCACTGCAGAGGATAATCAACGGTGCCTTATCTGTTGCATCGAGCAGGGTAGATAGGGGCTTGGATGCTACTGCTCAAGCCTTCCAGTCTTATTCCCCTTCGTATGCTTTTTCACTCATATCGTCCCGTTTCAAATCCACTTTTGTCCTCTCCGTTTACCGTCCTCAATTCTTGGCCCCCGCACCATGCCTATATAAGCGTTTATTTCCTAGTTTCGCTAACGCGGCGCGTCACTCTTGCTCTGTTGACAAGCCCATGTCTAACCAAGCGGTCAGACTCCGTTCATCGCCTTCTATTTGGAGCCCCCAATCCTCCGTCAAATTGCCATACCTCAGCGTACGCACACTGCTACAGATCAGTCAACAGGCAGGACTTGCCCGATTATTAGAGACCCTCTCGATCGATATTTGCTATTGGAAACCCGATTACAAGACCCGAGCTCTGTTCTCACTCTGCGATCCATTTCAGGTGACACTAGCGGGACTTTCTCATTTCGCCTGTCCAGAGGGATGCAGCTTCAAGTACCGGCCAAGCCGGTGTTGGTATTATCCTGAGTCCCGGGCTGAAGCTGCTCTGATTGATTGGATCCCAATCAGTAGCCAGATGTGTGCGGTCCGATTGGCTGGCTGGTTCAAAGCTTCAAATTCGCTGAGCTACCAGCAACGGATAGGCATCGTTCGGGTAAGCTACAAGCTGGCTACTAAGCAAAAAGAAATATTATTGTGTAAAATTATATTACGCTACGAAATGAGATCGTGGTTGGAACGGGAGGCTAAAAGGGATGGGGAGGGACAAAGAAACTCACAACACGAATGCCACTGGGGTCTGCTCCTTGCCATGTCAGCAAGTGTATCTAGCCAAACGTGTTCATCGTCTTTCGGACTCCAACAAGGGAGCCGTGACGCTCCAACCGAGGCCAGCTCCGAAGTCAAGGTCTTCATTCTTCTCGACTAAGTCATCGCTTGGCCACCCCTCCTCTTCTTCCATCCACACCCCCGGTGAGCAAACAAAGCACGTCGCGGAAGTCGGTACGCTGGCATGCGTAACACGTGACCGAGCCATCTGATCATGGTGCTTGAAATGACGGAGCTGAGAGGTACAGTTCCTTTCCCTGTGCCATAAACAAGGCGTCGAACACGCTGGTTACTCACGTGGTGTTCCCACCAGATGTGAGCCACACTGTGAACGCACCGGTGGACGAACGTAACTAGCCTCTTTATGTCCGCCGATCTTAGGGGCCAGGTTTCGCAACCGTACAGTAAGGTCGAACGTACCCTTCAGAATGAAAGTGATGTCGCGCCGCCGCCATAAGTGTCGAAAGTTAGCAAAAGCACTTCGAGCTTTCGCTATACGGTTCGTGACATCGTCTTCGATCCCAAGGGCGCTGATACAACTTCCCACATAGTTGAATTTTTGAACGACTTCTAGCAGATCCCCACCAAGGGTCAGCGCAGGAGGCGATCGCTGCCAATCTTGGAGGAACGCTTTGCATTTCGATGGTGTAAAGCAAAGCCCGAAGCGTCTGACAGCCAGTGCTAATCTGTTCAGTGCAGCTTGGCATGTCTGGGAGCTGTCACAAATGAGGGCAATGTCGTCTGCATACTCTAAGTCAAGAAGTCATTCTCCTGGGAGTAGCTCCACACCTTCTACGTCATGTCCTGTCAACGCGATCTACATGACTTCGTCAATAGCGGTGGAAGAGAACGGTGACAACAGGCATCCTTATCTCACACCGCTGGAGCTATTGAAGGGTGGCGACAGCTTGCTGTGAGCCCTCACTTTGCCCGTGCTACGTGCGTATAACGCTTGGATAATATTTACATATTTCTCGGGCACACCTTTCCTGAGTAGACAATTCCAAAGGGCACATCGATCAACCGAATCGAAGGCACCTTTGATGTCGAGGAACACAACTATGGTGGGTCGCCTATATGTGTGACAGTGCTCCAACAACTGACGCAAGGTGAAGATGTGGTCAATGCAGCCATGCGTTCGACGAAATCTGACTTGCTCTTCACGAATCTGGCTTTCACGAGCGCCAGTCAGTCTGTGAAGAATTATGGAGGCGAGTAATTTGGAGGCGATGGAGATCAGACTGATTCCTCTATGGTTGCCGCATTCCGAACGCGAGCCGCCTTTGAAGAGGGGCACAATAACGGAGCGGCTCCAGTCGGTTGGGACAGTCTCCTGCTCTCAGTTTCACTAGTAATTCATGTAAATCCTCAACAAGATCATAGCCTCCGAATTTGAAGGGGGCTGGCTGAAGATCATCTGGTCCCGCGGCTTTGTTCAACTTCAACAGTCCGATCTCACGCTTGACTTCTGAGCGAGTGGACGGATCCATAGGGACAGC